TGTCGCGTACCAAAAACCTTCAACGTCGAAGTCCAATGATTTAGGGACGGTGTCAGTATCAGTCAACCGCTGCAGCTACCATAGATTTTGGTGGTTGAACAAGGTAAGCATAAACAATTCTACACCACAGTACCAAAACTAGGACAGAAGAAAACAGCATCTGTGAATATCAGTTCAAATTGTTTGCTCATGCGTTGTCTCCGTAATTTTGGCGCACCCTGTATTTGGTCACGTGTATATGGTGACTTATTCATGTTTTTTTTTCTTTTTATTCGGAAAGAGAACTCGGTTAGGAAAGCACAGCAGGCGGTGGTACACGGGTACCCGACAAGAGGTCCCAGGCGGAGTCAACGTGCGCGGTGCGTGAGAGCTCACGTGACGGCCGATGGCCTTTCTCGTAGCTGGCGGGCAGCCCGATCGATACGTCGCTATGGCTGTTGCACGAGCGTGGGAACGGCATCACGCACCGCGCACGTGGAATCGCACGTGGCCGCCAGGGCTAGGAAGGCCGATCGGCAGAGAGGAGAAGGCCGAAAACGGTGAAAAACCAAAGTTTCAACTGGGAGGAGTAATGCATATCATTCGATAGCATTTTTCACGGGGAATCTAACGGGGCACATTTCAGGTCTGCGAGTTCATCTGGAAATGCAAAAAATCTGATCTTTCCACAAGGGCATGACGAGGAGGCATGTTTGGCCACACCACGGAAGGAAGCGCTCACTTGCGAAGCAAGTATGTCATATAATTCCTACACACAAGTAAGCGTACTCTACAACAGTGAAGAAATTTCGCTGCTACCTATTCAGATTTCGGCGAGTTTCACCAAATAGGGTTAATTGTCCTGGTGAGAATTGATCTATGATTTCCATTTGAACACGAGAGGAGGAGATGTTGAGCGCAGGGACTACGTGTTAAGTCATTTAACGCGCCGCTGTGGAATAGGGACCATGAAATCTGGAAAAAAGCAATCGATCCATTCACAATACAATGGACGATGTTGAATACGCGGCGCGTTCTGGGGCAACTGCTGAGACCCATCTCTCTGAAGAACGATCATGATGCATAAGCGGGATTATATGCGCACCACATTCAAACAATTTTTTCTCGAGCCAAAGCTCGAGTGCATGGCGCAATCTGAAGTAGGCTTTCCAAAAGTTTAAAAGCATATTCTTATAGAACTCGACGAGCTGAATTCAATGCTTTTTCAGGTTTCAAAAATCTTAATTCTGAAGCGAGTTATAACG